GAGTGTTTTTAGAGAATTGCCAAAAAAGGAAATTTTTAGGAATTTTGAGATTTGCGGGAAAGAGTTTTTTTTTTTAATAATTTTAAATGATATTTCTTTATAATTAGTAATATTAAATATATTAAGTGTAAAAACATATAATTTATTATTATTATTACTAGATATTAATTCATTGCAAAGCAACAGAATTTATATATAAACTATAGAAATATTATTATAACTGTTATAATAATATAATATAATTACGACTGTATTAGAGGATTATTATTTCTGTATAACAATGATTATTTAAAAACTTCGTAATACACAATATTTTTTGTCTGTTGATCTTGGTTTCTATTTATGTTATTTGATATAAGAATTTTGATGCATTGGTAAGAAGTAATTCTCGATAGAGTGACATACAACTGACCATGCAAAAAAATCAGCTGTGGCATATAGAGACCTACCTGATTTAATATCTGCCCCTGCGCTTTATTAATAGTCATAGAAAATGCAACTTGTATAGGAAATTGATGTTGCATTAAAGTAAAAGGCAAACTGGTATCAGAAGGTGTTAATGTAATTCTAGGTATGAAAATGCATTGTCCAATATATGAACCTGTCATAATTTCTGCATTAATTACCTTACTAAGAAGTCTATGGCAAATTAATCAGATCCTATTATAAAGTCCTTTTGATGAGTCTAAGTTTCATAAAAGCATAATAGATATTCCTACTTTTAACTTTAATTCATCAGGAGGAAGACTACAAATCTTTGAGATCTTAAAAATTCAGGGGAATACAATTGGGACTGTTTCACATTACTATCCTCTAAACCTACAAAGTTTGCACTGTAATATATATAAACTTCACCTGGAAGCTGGTTCATAATCAGGTCAAAGATTTTTTTAACTTCATCGTTCTTTGGAGTTAAAATAGCTCTGCCAACCATGTAATTCATATTGCCAGAATTTTCAACTAAGTTTGGATAAACGAAATCAATAAGATCCAACAATTGTCCTCTAAGTATTACTGATCTATTACCAGTTTATAAATCTATATAAAGGAGCGGTTTTTTTTTCCACACACTATAGAAACTATACGATTTGTATTAGAATGATTATTTTTTTAAACCTTCAAATATTTCTTCAACTCCGCCTCTTGTTCAGTAAGTATCTAATATATGTGAATTTAATTAATTATTAATTAATTAAATATATACTAATTTAAATCTTTAAGTGAGTTATTACTACTTCCATCTATCATTTGGTAAGCTTCTTATGCAAATTTATTAATACTTAATTAATTCGAACTAATTAATTTATATTTAACCATAAGTGATTTTCTATAATTAAAGTTAATAATTATAATTATAGTAATCGTTATAAACTCCTTACATCGTAAATAATCCAAATAAAAAAAATTTTTTAGTCTATCTACCAAGTATAGTTCCTGAAGGCGTCTTTGATTATATCTTAGTTTTTTAAGAATTGCATGTCACATGTTGGTTTAGGATAGGTGGTGGATTGATTGCCTAATAGATTCAATCCTAAGGGATTCAGCAAATATAATTATAAGATCTCATGAAATCGACTTAGACTGAAAAATTAGAAAAAATTACCCATTATATTTTGTTCTGTAATCCGAAGAATTATAATTATAAAATTTTATAAAATCGACTTAGAAAATTAGAGAAAAATTACTCATTAGATTTTGTTCTGTCATGTATGATTTTTAAATATGTTTTTAGTCATATTTGTAGTTTTAGAATTGTACGTATTGCATGTCTAAAAATGCAATTCTGTCGTAATGAAGATTATTAATATTTAGGTAAATATATGGCATGTAAAAAAGCAATTTAATTATTCTGTTAGAGTGAAATTAACCATAAGAAGTTTTTTAAGAATCGCACATTGCGTGTTGGTTTGGGATAAGTAGTGGGTTGGTTGCCTAACAGATTTAATTCTAAGGAATCCAGAGAATATATATAATTATAAGATCTCATGAAATCAACTTAGACTGAAAAATAGAAAAAAATTATCCATTATATTTTGTTCTGTAAGATCCCATTCTGTGATCCAAGAATATATATATAATTATAAAATTAAAGAAAAATTACCTATTAGATTTTGTTCCATTGTATATAGTTCTTGAATATGTTTTTAGTCATATATTTATAGTTTTAAGATCACACGTATCGCATGTCTAAGAAAACAATTCTGTCATAAAGGAGATTAGTAGCGTGGAAAAAAGCAATTTAATTATTCTGTTAGAGTGAAATTAATCATAAGAAAATTATTAATATTCGAGTAGATAGATAATGGAAGTCTATTATAAAATATACATACTGCTAGGAGGAAAATTAGGTTACGATCGCATGATATAATACTTGTGGCATGATCCTTAATTTTTAGGATGTGTGTGAAATTTAGGTCATGGCTATGCGACACAATCACCACGAAACAAAATAATAAATTAGTTCATAATTTCTTCTTATCAGATAAATTAAATAACAAACTCACTTGTCTTTATTTTTCTTCCAATAGAGGAGTTGTATGGATAAGGTAAAAAAAAACATGTATAAATGGAGGGAAAAATAAAATGTAATATAAGTGCTTGTAATATAAAGAAATATTTACCTTCTTTTCTTTTCCACACCTTCTTGTAAGATAAAATTATTAAACTACATGTATTTACAAACAACGTATTGTAATTATTATTACACAAAATTTATCATTATATATATATATAATGAATGATGATACAATTAATTATTTATATTGAGTATTCTAAATATTAGTGTTACATACGAAAAGTTTTATTATATAGTATTGATTTTTTTTTTCCGGTAGGTAAACATTATTTATTTATTTATTTGTATATTAATAGATATACATAGTGAAAAAAACAACATCTTTTGAATACAAAAAGCATACAACAAGTTAAATGCTAACCTGCTTACATATCTATACCTAGCTAATATCAAAAGGAAATTTTAAAACAATATTATATATGTTAAATATAGCTGAGTAGCAGCTTACTCAGAATTTTTTGATGGATGTAAATAAAATGGAAAGTAAAAGAAAATTGAAAAAAAAAAAATTCTATATTTAATGCTATACAAGTGAGAAATATAATAAAACTAAATATATAACTAAGGATACCTATTCAACACGCCACTCTGGTAGTTCCATTCTGTTTAAATATATTGAAAAATATACTGTATCGATTGGCCAGGCTACTGTTTGAAGTATATAGTAGTGATGATGATATATCTTCTTGATAGTTGCTGATACATGGTGATAGTGGTTGATTGGTTGGATAGTTATTTGAATATATGGTAGTAACATTAATTATATAATTAAGGATGCTTATTTGGTACGCCACTCTGGTAGTTCCATTCTGTTTGAGTATACTGAAAAATATACTGTATTAATTGGCCAGGCTACTGTTCAAAATATATAATTGTGATAATAACATATATCCTTAATAGTTGATAGTATGTGGTAGTAGTGATTGATTGGTTGAATGATTGATTAAGTATAATAGGTTTAAATGTAGTGATTGTTTATTTGCAAAGTTAGAGCTGTATTATTGTTTTTAAATTGATGATTGATAGAACATGCTTGTTGTTTTGGTGTTTATTAATAGAATAAGGTTATATGGTTGGATGGATTTCCATTTTTAGTGTTGTTTACATTGATCTTTGGCAGATATAATGGATGTGTTTGAATATTTAGTAATGTGTAATTGATTAAAGGTAGGATGTTGATCATTGCCAGGGGCAAACTGATTGCGATTTTTTGGAAAAAAAGTTTTTGAGCAAGAATTTTGATTTTTTATAGCACAGTAAAATATATTGAGCAATGGTAGAAGTTGTTTTTTGTATATATCAATGGTTCTTCAGGCCAGTGATATAAACAAAGTTGATGTGAAAGTTTGTATTTTGGAATGAAATAAAGTCCTTCAAGTCAAGAACATGAATATTTAAAAGTGTTTGTATATTAATAAGATGTGTATTAATAAGAAATGTAAATATGAAAAATTCCAAGAAAAACTTGTAAAGAAGCAACTGCCATGAATCTTTCCTCATGCAATTCAAGAGAGAAGCAAGTTCCCCAAGCTTGCTTACTCCTGATTAGAGGTCCCATCTCGATGTACCAGTGTGCTTTTTTAGTTTCTTGAGATTTTTGGTATTGAAAATTAAAAAGATGTAGAGGACTTGTGAGTATTAAAAAGTGAAAGGAATATTTTTTCTAATTTTGACATATAATTTATTATTAAATTTTGTAAATAATAAATATAAATAAAAATTATTTATTATTAATTTGTTAATAAATTTTTTTGATTTTGTATGTGAATTCAATACTAAAAAACTTTTTCTTGCAAATTCATTTTCTGCAAAAATTTTTCTTTTATAGAAACAAACAAAATTCAAAGGAGAAAAAAAACAACAAGCACTCTTGGAAGCCCTCCTCCCAAGGGCAAACCCCCAAACCCACTTCATATCCTTCTGGACATCATTATAGTCAACCCAACTGACCGTTTATTCTCTGTAATGTACAAGGAATCTAACTCAAGCAATATACAAATTATTGAACCAGCACGAAATGTCTCTATTCTTCCCTTAACTAACTTCCCCAAATACTGGATTGTATCCTTACTAAACCCAAAAAACAATGACAACCCTTTTTCAGTAGATACAGCTTTTGTCAGTTTCAAACAAGTAACAACCGGCTCCAGTACTTCATTACTCTCATACATGCAAGCCTCCCTATCCATCAATAATTAAAAAAGCAACACTCAAACCAATCTTAATAATTTCTTCCTCTATTAGGAGAGAAATAATCTTGCCCCAAACATAAGGGAGACCATCGCAAGAAAAGTCCTAGACAGTAACCTCAATTATACTCTCCACCTCTCTTGAAATCAAATTAACATAATTAATTGTGGAAACAAGTTCAACCTCGAGAAGATATACAATACACCATCTCACCCACCTTCCAATACATCAGTTCAGGATGATGACCTTGAAAACTCAGCTTTCTACTCTCTCCCAGTTCCCAACAAAAAAACTACAAGCTCTCAAATCCCAAAAAAAACCCCAAGCAGTTTACCCCCACCTATTGATTAACAGATTATAAACATTTCCAATTCAGTACCTACCAGTAACGCAACCCCTGCATCTTATGCAACCTATGAAGCTCCAGAAAGTGCAAATGTAATTAGTGCATCAAGTAACGTGGCACCAACCCAAATGATCTTTAAAGCATAGGTGACATGATGCAAGTGGATGATCACCACATTGCAGTTGCCATGAGTAACAATTATGACAAATCCAGTAGTACAATCAGACCAACCAGCCCCTGTTCTGACAATGACATATCAATGGCATCATTGGACCAACCAAATTCTATAAGAAATTCAAGCTCCCTAGCAGAATTTGACCGTCAAGTACAGGAAGAGCTAGCCAACATACAAGGAAACATATCTCTTATTGAAGCAGCCCAGCCAATACAGACCTCCGATCAAACAAATAGAGAAGAACTTCTAAATAAGACAGATTGGCCACATGAGAAATCTCTAATCGGAGACCTTACAAGCTTCCTCAGTTTCTCCTCAATTGAAAACTCGTCAACAAGTTTACAATTGGCACTACCCCAAGTACCAAAGAGAATAGAATAACCATAATTTTTCTGAAAAGTGACCCAAACTTCCACCAACCAATAGATGGTCCCTATAAAACCCAAGCAATCAGTTCAGGTAAACCATTCGTCAGCGAACATGATATGATAATCGACTTAGCATCACAGCTGTCAGCCTGTCGTACAAATGCAAAGAAAGTAGCTAAGCTGTTTAAGAATATCAAGACCACTTCAAAAGAGTCAATTATTCAAGAACTCCACTTTGCAATCTTTACCAAAATTCTTCTAAGAGACAGAACCTTCTTCAAATCATTTA